TTTATGAAAATATAAAAGATGATAATGTATTATCTTGTTTATTAGAACTTCCATTATAATCCCATTTAAAAGGAGAGTATGCTCCAAAGATATAGCCACTTTTAGATTTAAATACCATGAACAAATTTTCTAAATTATAAGCTTTCTACCAAAAATATTCTGCCTTTAACCCATCTCTAGTACCTAAATAAATATCTCTTGAACCCTTTATCGTTTTCTTTGTTTTTTCTTATAAGATATAAAATATTTTTATCCAATAATCAATTTAAAGTAAATTTGGTTTTAATAGAATGAGTTCTATCTTAGAATTAATCCTCTAAATTACAAGAATGTGGTATGAAAGTTAATATTAGAAGTATTCAAATAAACCTATATTGTTAAATTTTGATTCATTGATATTTATGCTAATATTTTTTAATTATTATTTTAGGAAGAAAAATAATTATAGCATCTAGTTATAAAAGATGTATTAGAAATAATTAAAAAATATCTGCTTTATAATTTTTAACTTCAAATAAATGAAATTAATTTAATGAAGTGAAAATCAGAATCAGTATCAAAAAAAAATAAAAATGGATAACCTGTAAATGATAATTATTTAAGCTGAAGATAAGAAAATAAATCAAATCTAATTTTAAAAGCAGCATATAGGCATATAGATAGCACTTAAAGAGAATAACAAAAATATATTATAAAAAAAATTAATTTTTGCTCTGATTACTAAGTAACTCATTTTATATTGATTAAAATAATTTTAAAATCCAAATACAGCAAATTCATCAGTAATAATTAAAAATTGAAATGAAATATAATTAAAATAGATATTCCAAAAATTTTTACTCTAAGACTTGAAAAATATCAATCCTTTTTGTAAAATTTTATAAAATAGGGAGATTAATTTTCGGATCATCAATTATGCTTAATAAATTACTAATTATTTTGATAATATAGTTCTGATTCATTTGAAATTTATTGCCGAATATAATTCTATTATTTCCATTTTTCTACTGCGTAAATTCAATTTCTTGTCTTCTTAATAAGAGGATCTTAAAGCACTTTTAACCTAACTCATTCTTTGTTTACCTGGAAATTTATACAATGCTTAATCAAAATCCCTTATCCTTCTATCCAAGCTTTATACATATTTTAATATATAATCTATAGTTCTCTATCTATATCTTAGTTTCAATTGATTTGCCCTCAACAGAGGATGTTTGAGCAAATTGTCCTTAAATCTAGGATTTCTAGAATTAAATTTTTTGGCCAAGATTTAAATCCTTATCCTACATATTTAAAATAGCTTCTAAATATTTAGAAATGTCTTAAGTAAGTTTTCTGAGATAAGATGGCCATTAAATAGTAACCAACAATTATTTTGGAAGGAAAGATACTTTTTGAAAACTGAATTTATTTTAAGAACTAAAAAATATATTTTATTCTTTGACAAAACATTCTTTTGCCTTCCAAGATATTCTCTTTTTCATAAATTTATAAATGTAAAATAGCACAGAATTTTTTTAGTTTTTTAAACTATTAATTTAAATTTATTTAAGCCAAAATCAAATAAACTAGGTTCAAACCTTTTATTACACTTAATTTATTACTTCAAGTTTACCACATTTTTGGTTACTTCTTTATATTTATTGCAGTTCCTTTTTGTAAATTAAGTTTGGTCCTCAAATTATATTCAACCTTAAATCATTCCTCATTAATAATCGAATTTTACACTCACATCTTTTGATTAATAAATTTAATGTTCTGTAATTCTTCAACTTAACAAAAGAGTCCAAAAATAACCCTCACTGCCTCTTAGTTGAGCATATTATAGTACAGTACTTAAGATTTATTCAATCTCATATGTATTGCTTGCTACATTTAAGCCAGTATCTAAACCTCTACCAAATATTATTTGCAAAAGAAATTAAAAAAAAAA